TTTTTTTTTTTTTTTAAATAAATTGGGCTTTTCTTGCGACCTGTCAATAATTTATACTCATTTTTTAAGTCTTTATGATTTTTTTTTAAATAGTTGTAGTAAAACGAAGTACAGTCAAAACTCAAAAGCCAAAGCTATATGTACAAGTATTTTGTTTGTGAGTGATAGTTAAATTGAAAGAATATTTAGAAAAAAAATATAATCATTTCCCGGAGGAGTTTTACAGTACTCGCGTGTACTTCTAAATAAGAGGAAAATGCACACGTTTGCATTTTGCATGAATTGTATTTGCCAACTTTTTATATAATTGTTGATTTTTGTAATTATTAGTTTTACTCTATATATATAAAAAAAATGTTTTAGTTGGATGATAATTCAATTCAAAAGAATATAATAAATTTGAAAAGCAATTGTTTTCCTAATCTTGTCATAAGCATCAGTTGAATAATATCTTGAAAAAGAATCATGTGACATGAGACATTTACAGTAACACGATTAGATTGTCATACTTTTTAAAAGATGCATATTTTAAGATGAAATGATATACTTTAAAAATATAAGGTAAACAAAAGTGATACATAACAGCATAATTATTTAATTTTAATATTTTATGAAATAAGTATTACAAGTTCACTCGCCTAACGACAATCTAATGCAAGAATTTGTGCAAATTTTTGAAGGAATAGTATATGCTACTATTTAAGTCATTTATGACATGTAACTATTTAGTTAGTGAAATTTAAAAAAGGTGGGGGTATTTTAGAAAAGTAAAAGCAATATGGTACACTTTTTATTTTCAATAAAACTGACACGCCTTATTGGTCAAGCTTGAATAAATTGGAATTAAAGGATTGGCCTTTTATAGGGGGAAATGTAAATAAATAAATGAACACAATTTGATATATACATTGGAGTGAATTACATAATTTATGTATATCATTATATACAAATTAGTATACATAAGTATTTTTCTTCACATCATTTTTTTATTTTACTTCGAAAGGATTTTTCACACCATTATTCCTCTACAAAGGCTTGTGTTAAAATGCCTTAACCCCACAAACAACAGTGTAATACTTAAATTATTTTAAGTTGACATAATTAATTGCAACTTGGGGAGTGGAAGCCAGTCCAAAAACACCTTTTTGACATAATGAATTTGAGGCTAACAAATCCAGCACACACCTAATTATGTATGAATAAATAAATGGGAATTACCAGGAGCTATGATTGGCTTTCAAACTCTGTTTTGATGGGGTTTTTGTTTAAAATTGGAAATTAAAATTATACCAATTTTTTAGAAAATTAAAATGTCTTAGTTGAACAACTCTTCTTTTGATGGGGTTTTTGTTTATATATTCCATTATTGATTGCATGATTTTTTACTTGCATCATTCACTAAATGGTAAGATTGGTCTTAGAGACCTAATGTTAACATACATATTTACCTTTTAAGTAGTCATATATTTTAACATACTTACTTAAAAATAGATTATTTATATACATATATATATATATAATGTTTTATATTATAAATAGACATGGCCACAGGCCCGACCCATCGGCTCTGAGCCCAACCCGGTGGATCGACAGTTCATAATATGAGGAATCATCTCAGGGGTACTGAGTTAGATCCTGTTCCAAGTTGACTCGGTATGTCTAAGTGTTTTTTGAAAAAATAAAAATAACTGCTTTCACGTCGATCTGCCGGTTTTGGGTCTGGCTCGTTAACTCAATGGGACGAGTGAGTTTTGTCGACTATCTTGCAACAGACACAGAGACCAAATTATTAAGATTATATTTTAATCAGACTCAATCCGTCGATTTCGAGTCGAATTCGAAACCAAATAAAAAAAATTAAAATCTTCGACGCCAAACCCAATGGGTCGGACCAATTTTAGGTTGGGCCTAACTCACCAGATCAAAATAATTTGAAAGGTTGAACTGAAAATAGCCCTCTCATTTTCCGCTGGAAATTGGTCAATGCCACCTATACATATCAGTTAGTTGGGCCTAAGGCCCTTAATAAACAACTTAGAAAATTGATCAATGCCACCTATACATATTGATTAGTTGGGCCTAATAAACAACTTGATTTCATTTCAGATTCAGCCTTGGGAACTGGAAAAAGAAAACCTTATCAAATGAAACCTGGTATTCTTATAAAACATTAATTAAAACTACAACAAGGGAAAGTAGTTTTATGCAGCACACAGAATTGATTGAATATACTAATAACTATATTTAATAAAATTGATATGAAATGTATAGATACAAGTGCCGAATCGTGTGGAGCCGATATGGATTGATTTCCAAAAGTGTGAGTAGATTTCATTCAGTCCCCTAATCTATACTTATATAATAAAATTTACCATTTAACAAAAATAGTAGGTTAACTTTCTGTTAAAATTCCTCCTCAATATTTACTTTCCACTAATGGCAATTTTTTTTTAAAGATGTCCCTCCTCTAATGAGAGAGAATAATTAGAGCATCTCAAGTGAATTGTTGTCTATAATAGATGGCTTCTCTCCACGTGGATAGAATAGAATGACAAATTCTTAAATAACTCTCGTCAGTAAATGTCTATACACTTTTTTTTTTTTAAATTTTTTATTTTGTTGTTATAAAAAAATCTAAAAAAAAAATTGCAGATGGAATTTCAACGATATATATTGCACAAAAATTTCATTCACATTTGATGGGTGACAAAATAAATTATTATTCTACCGAGCTTCTGTAATGCTGATATTTATTATGTATTTTAATGCTTATTTTTAACAAAATATATACCATTAAATTTATAATAGGTATTTTTGTAACTGTATTTTTCTTAAAATCTCCTTTTATTATGTATTTTAATACATAATTGTAACAAAATATATACCATTAAATTTATAATATGATTTTAGAAGTCTTACAATTTTTTTATTTTATTTTTGTTTATGTAAATTAATTTGTCTTTGATAAAGTGTGTACAAATAAATACCAACAAACAATAATTTAATCAACGACTTAGATTATAAATTAAATTTTTCTTCAAGTTTAGTCTTTTAGTAAATACTATATACATGTTTTAGTAAATTTTATTGTTTATGAATTGTATAAGGATAATTTAAAATAAAAAAATAAACAAAGGAAAAAAAATGATTCATCACATCTAGAAGTACTTCACATGTAGAAAGACTTCTAGAATAATTCTATCTCTTTCATGCCACATCAACATAAATAGAAGTAGAAAAAATACCGCTGGAGAAGTTTTTTTTATTGTACAACGTCTACAATCCTACAATTGACATGCTGTTGGAGATGATCTTTATGTCAAATTCCCTCCTCATTATAAGTTTGTCACATTGGATCACCTAAAAGAGCGGCGGTTATAATTGAAACTTTTGAAATTGCGGAAATAGATTTTTTTTTTTTTAATATCGTTTAAAGAACCAAATTCCTTAATTGAAGGGATATTATCTTGTCAAATTCCTCCTCATTATAACTTTGTTGCGGAAATAGAATTTCAAAGATGTTTAATTATTATAAAAAAGATTAAATTCTAAAAAATATTTGTGTATATTTTGTAAAATGTTTTACTTTAAATTTATTACATTAACAAATAATATTAACATACATTAAATATTTTAATTACATGAATAAAAAGAAGAAGACTACATCTATAACTCTTAAAAATAATAATAATGACATTATATTAGAATATATTTTATAATAAAATAATAATTGAGTATACGAGGAACGAGATTAAGTAATATTGTTAATTTTCTTATATCTATGAATAAAAGTAAATACTAAAATTAAATTTATATTATTATAAACGTGTGAGCAGAATAATATATTAATTAATTTACGAGCTAGTG